AAAAAAAAAAAAAAAAAAATATATATATATATATATAACAACACAGACAGACACACAATGTAGCTGTGATAATAAAACCACATGGAAGTGTGGTCAAGAATAGAGAATGTTAAAGCCCAATGAAAAGACAAGCCATAGACCGGAAGAAAAGATTTGCAGGAAAAAAAGTTTGCAGCTCTTATAAAGAGCCATTGTTATCCAAAATATACAATAAGCTTTTTCTTCAAACTCAACTATAAGAAAACCAACATGGGCCAGACACGGTGGCTCAAGTCTGTAATCCCAGCACTTTGGGAGGCCAAAGTGAGTGGATTGCCTGAACCCACAGGTTCAAGAACAGCCTGGGCCACTTGGCAAGACCTCATCTCTACAATAAAATTAAAAAAATCAGCCAGGCATGGTAGCGTGTGCCTGTAGTTCTTGGAAGGCTGAGGTGGAAGGATCATCTGGGCCCAGCAGCTCGACACTAGGGTGGCTATGAATGTGCCACTGTACTGCAGCATGGGCGAGGGAGTGAGGCTCCAATTTAAAAAAAAAATTAGCTAGGCAGAAAGGCAAGTACTTGTAGTCCCAGCTACTCAGGAAGCTGAGGCAGGAGGATCACTTGAACCCAGAAGTTCAAGGCTTTGATTGCACCACTGTACTCCAGCCTGGGTGACAGAGCAAGATCCTGTCTCTAAAAAAAGCAAAAAAATCAAACAGCCCAAACTTTAAAATGGGTCAAAGAACTGAATAAATCCCTTAACAAAGAAGGTACACAGTTGGCAAGAAAGCACATGAGAAAAATGCAATGAAAACAACAAAGAGATACCACCATAAACCTGTTAAAACGGCCAAAATCCAGAACAGTGACAACACCAAATGCTAGCAAGGATGTGGAACAATAGGAACTCTCATTAATGAATGGTGGGAATGCAAAATGGTGTAGCCATTGTGGAGGATAGTTTGGCAGTTCCTTACAAAATCAAACATTCTGTTACCATACGATCCAACAATCTCACTCCTTGGAATTTATTTATCCAGAAGAGTTGAATTCATGTCCATACAAAAACCTGCACATGAATGGCACAATTTGGCAATTATCTATAACAATTCAAAACTGCCATACTCAGGAGCAACAAAGTTATCCTTCAGTAGGTGAGTAGATAAACTGGAGTACCTTCATCAAAATGGGATAGTACTCAGAGAGCTGAATAATACAAAAACTGTTAAAGAATATATAACAAAATAATTTTTAAAGTGAGCTACCAAGACATGAAAAGACAAAGAGGAATCTTAAATGCATATTACTAAGTGAAAGAAGCCAATTTGAAAAGGCCATATACTGCGTGATTCCAACTATATGACATTCTGGAAAAGGCAAAATTATGGAGACAGTAACAAGGTCAGTGGTTTGCCAGGGTTTGGGGTAGGGATGAATAGGAGAAACCCACACTGAGACACATCATAAACTACCGAAAGTCAAACCATACAGAGCAAATTTTGAAAGCAGAAAAAAATGACTTACTACACAAGGGAAAAAAACGAGTTGATTACATAGTTAACTTCTCACTAGAAACCATGGAGGTCAGAAATAGAACAACAGAAAAGTAGAAAGAAGAACTATGAATTTAGAATTTTATGTCCACCAAAGCCAACTTTCAAAAATTAAAACTTCAATATATGATACTATTAAAAAACTGGACATCTACATGCAAAAAAAAACCGCCTCAACCAAAACCTCTCACCATGTACAAAAACTAACTAAAAATGAATCATAGATTTACACATAAAATCTTAAAGTATAAACTTATAGAAGAAAATACAGGAGAAGACCTTTGTAACTTCAGTTAAGGAAAGACTGCTTAGATATGACATCAAGAAGTATATCATAAAAGAGCAAAATTGATAAATTTCATCAAATCTAACACTTTTTAACTCTTTTAAAGACATTGTCATGAGAAAAGATACCAGAAATTGTGAAAAAATATTTACAAAATACATAAAGAACTCTCAAAGCTTAATTAGAAAAAAATCCAATTTAAAAAATGGGCAAAGATTTGAACAGACATCACTAATGAATATATATGAATGGCAAATAAGCACAGGAGACTGCTCAACATCATCAGTCATTAGGGAATGAAAGTTAAAACTACAACGAGATACTACCACACACCTATTAGAATGGCTAAAAAAATATTTTTTAACTAATATTACTAAGTCCTGGTGCAGATGAAGAGTAATTGAAACTCTCATGCTTTGGTGGGAATGCAAAAAAGTATAATAAGCACATGGATAAAGACATTTCAACTTCAGTCATCATCACCAGCTACTGGAACTAACCAAATGTCTATCAACTGGTGAACAGATAAATAGAATTGTTATACCTACACAATGGAACACACTCAGCAAAGGAATGAACTTCTGCAATATGCAACAACACAGAGAACTCTCAAATGCATCATGCTGTTGTACGATTACACTTAGATGACATCTGGAAAAAGCAAAACTACAGGAACAGAAAACAGATTGGTGGGAAAGGAGAGATGATGCACAAACCTACGATGGGGATGGTAGGCTCCTGAGAGGGAACAGAGAAAGAACAGATCAGAGAGACAGAGTGAGTGAGTGAAGACCTTTGCCTACACCTTCGGTCAACAGGACTCCAGTCCCTACAAGAAGGTGCAGTGTCAGGGCATGGCATCGCATCTGAGCACAGGCACTACACAGGTAATCAGCATGACCTTAGACAAACACTTCATCTTTCTGCACAGCTAGGATATAGGGGTGTCGGGAGAATTAAATGAAACAATGTATACTAAGCACTTGGAACAAGTCCCAGAACATAGGACATGCTTCTTACGCACTTGTTGAAGGGCCTGCAGTATGACATGGCATCAACTGTCCACCTGTGTCAAACTGAGGATCTAGGGAGGTTCATCATTCTGGCTCCTTTCAGCCCCCAGAGGCAACTAAGTTTACTTACTACTTCAGGCATTTGCTACTTTGCTGTGGAGCACACATGTGCCATATGCCTTAAGCTAATTTAAACTAAAAATTATTTCATTGAGGATTTTTTGGAATCCACAAATTTAATAAGAAAAGAAATTCCAATCACTGCTGGCCACTGAATAGGCATTACTGGAGTGAATTTCTGTTCTTTCAATTTATCAAATGCTTCTTTTGCCTCTGGGATAATCTGAATAAACAAGCGCAAACAAATGTAAAATTTTGTTCCTCAACTCTGTCACAGCTTTTCTAGTAGACAAACGATCAGCAGACAGATGACACTAACCAGTAGAAAATGTGGTCGTCCTGAATGTCCAGAAACAATCGCTCAGCTTCACATACTGGTGTACCCTTGAGTCTTCTCTCAAGTCCCAGACAACAACTGAGCCATGCACTGTTCCAGCAAACAGCAAAAATGCTTTCAAAGGGCTAAAGCAGCAACATGTGACCTAAAAGTTAAAAGCAGGCAGAGAAAGCTGATGACTGAAGACTACGAGAACCACGTTTGCAGAAGTTACCTTTACGTAGAGTGGTAGCCGATCCTTTCACTTTACAGTGTCCCTTGTGGGACACAGTCCGTAGAATGTGGACTTCTGCATATAAAATGTAACTTGCCTGAGCGCCAGTTCCCTCAAATGGAAGGTAGGGATAACAAACAAACCCATCCTGTAGAACTGTTAAGATCACAAGATGAGAGGCCTAACACATATTTCATCCGGGTACGTGAAATGTGCTCAATAGTCCTACCCATTCAGCTGAGCCTCAAAAACAGCAATCCCATCCCATGTCTTTTTTTTTTTTTACATCTTCAAGCCCTCAAAACCGATGCCCATAAAAGCTGTTGTTCTCTAGAGCTTTTGTGTAAATAAATGGTTTTGAGGTCAAGGAACACATAAATAGGAAAATACAAACACACATTTTCCCAAACATAAAAAGGCAATTCCCTTGGCCCACCCGGTCCTCAAGTCAAGGTGCCAGCACCTGGGGCTGAAGAATGCATGAAACTAAGGAAGGATGCCATGTGATAGAGCATTTCAAACTATTGTAAGAAATCTCAGGGATATTAAGAAAACATTAAAATATCCAGAACCCAAATAGTGGAAGACAAAAAAATGTATGTCTGGGACCCCAGAGTTAATATTTTTATTAAGCCTGTAACTACCTTTATTACATAATTTTCAATAGACCTAAGATGCTGCTCTGTGATAATTCTGAATTTCTCAGTCTGAGTTGATCCTTTGAACTAAAAATTTCTAGAGTCAAAACAAACACACTTACATGCTTTGTCACACCTGCAGCAGAGCTGAGGGCAGTCGTGGGAGGCAGGGAGTGGTCGATGAGTCCCCACCCACCTCCTAGTCCCAGAACCCTCTCCTTCTATGCCTTCATGGTCCAGCCACCACCTGTGGATGGACACATGACTCTTAAACACATGACTCTCCTCCTGAACTTTACCTTAGACTCACATATCAGAACCTTCTGGGGCCCCAAAGGCTGCCAAATATCCCACACGCAGAGGATGTGCCTGCTGTCCAGCAGAAGGGAGAACGCCTTCTCAGGCAGACCATGAACAGAGACCACTGTCTGCCTCTGAATGCAAGAGGCGTGCAAACAGGACACTTTTCGATCTAGGGATAAGGAAAATATAGTTGCATTTCAGTGATCTGCCAGAATCCATATTAAATGAACACGCTTCAGAATACTCAGAAAATTTTCAGCTTAATGAAGGAAAAAACCTGGTCCTTTCAAAACTATACATGATAACTGGTCATAGCCTGTACCTGAACACTGTCCAAGTCAACCTTATGGTTTAGCTAAAAAGAAATCCTACAGGCCGGGTGCGGTAGCTCAGCCCGTAATCCCAGCACTTTGGGAGGCCGAGGCTACAGGATTGCCTGAGTCTGGGGTTTCAAAACCAGCCTGGGCAACTTGGTGAGACCTTATCGCTACAATAAATCACAAAAACTAGCCAGGTGTGGTGCCATGCATCTGTAATTCCAGCTACTTGGAAAGCTGAGGTGGAAGGATCACCTGAGTTAAGCAGGTTGAGGCTGCGGTAGCCGTGAGTATGCCACTGCACTCCAGCCTGGGCGACAAGAGTGAGACTCCAACTCAAAAAAAAGAAAAGAAAGAAAGAAATCCTGCAGACATGGTACGATGCACGATTCACACAATAACCAGGCTGCCCGAGCAGGTGCTTGGATCAGAATCTAGAGCTGGAAGATACACCAGAAATGACCCAAGCTGATCCCACTTGCTGTGGAGATGCCAGTGTGAGGAACTGCAGCGTCCAGACCATCACACACCACATTCTCCACTAAATGCCGGGGTGCTGAGCTCTGTTCAGAAGTTCCTCAGTTCTAGCAAAGGACAAAATTCCAAAACTTCACTGTTGGCGGCACCTGCCCACCAGCTCCCAAGAGTCAGAATCAGCAGAATATGCTGATGGGTGTAATGAAGCAGAAGGATGTGAAGTCAGTGGTTGGCAAGGATTTTATCATCTAAAATTAAACGATGCTGCTGGGAGGGATGAGGTGAAATGTAGAAAGCTTGCACCTTCCTGGTCTGAACTGCACACACACATGCATATGCACACGCATGTGCACACACACACAAACCAGCCCCTCAGCTCATGCTGCTAAAGGCCACATCATCCAGACCTGGGTCACAGCTGCCCTTCCAATTTCAGGGAATCCCCCCTTCTACCTCGACACAATCACTAATAGCCACAGCCCTCTGGGGCCGCTTCCACTATCCAACATCAGCTCTTCTTTCAGGAAAAGTGCTGCATTTACTTAATAGCTGTGCATTTCATAACCATTTAGTATGTGTGAAACTGTGTTACCATTTTTACTAGGTTCCTATATTTTTTGTGACACTGATGAAGTTTATGAGGGTTGTGCTCTGACCCCAGTTTTCCCATAAGCCCTGTGGTTTCTATTGGTAGTTTTCTATAGTGTAGGGATAACATATACTTCCTGTCATAACAGAACAGACTGGAGCAAAGCCAACACGAGTTCTGACCCGCTATGAACACCCTAACTGCAACTCCCACTGGCCACCATGATGCCCCCACTCTGTCCCAGCTTGAGGTGTGCCCCAGTCTCCCTGCCTACATGTGTGGACCCTCCTCTGGAAGCTCTCTGATCTTGCGGCCACTTTCTCAGCTCCCTCTGGTTTTCACTCACAGTAAGATCTCTACCAGAGACCGTACTTAGTCCTTACTAATATGCATATATTATATTAGTAAGGACTAATATAAGAACAGTGCATAAATCAAGAACAGTGCATATATATATATTTTGTTGTTGCTGTTGTTTTGAGTTGGAGTCTCACTCTGTCGCCCAGACTGGAGTGCAGTGGCTGCTCCGGTCACTGCAGCCTCCACCTGCTGGGCTCCGACAATCCTTCTGCCTCAGTCTTCCAAGTAGCTGGAACTACAGGCATGCACTACCACGCCCGGCTAATTTTTTGATTTATTGTAGAGATGAGGTCTCATCAAGTTGCCCAGGTGGGTCTCGAAACCGCGGGCTCAGGCAATCCACTCACCTCAGCCTCCCAATGCGCGAGATTACAGGCTGAGCCACCAAGCCCGGCTATAATATATATTTTACTTGTTTAGCCAGTGTAGTCTATTTAACCTACCAAAGTATAAGCTCCAGGAAGGCAGGATTTCTGTCTTTCCTACTCACTGTTGAATCCCAGCTCCTACAACATGCCTAGGACGCTATAGACACCTGCTAACTAACTGTGGAATAAATAAATGAATGAACAGGATATCACTGGCTGCAGCATTCTGCTATACCTGCTTTAAATAGTGATGATGGTATTGAGCAGATTCTGTGACGGCTGAAATATCACTACATATGTGCATATGTGATAATAGGAATGAAATCCTAATTTCACAAAGGCAAGACAACCTACTTATTCTGTCAGCTATCTTCCTCCATGTCATTTTTCTTCTACCATCTCAATATCCATTTTACTAAAACACAAAAGTAAGCAAACAAGAAAAAACTCTACCTTTTTTACATGAGGGAAATTGCTTAAGAACACATAGACAGCCGGGCTCGGTGGCTCAGCCTGGAATCCTGTGCCTTTGGAAGGCGAGGTGAGTGGATTGCCTGAGCCCGTGCATTCAAGACCCACCTGGGCAGCGAGACCTCATCTCTACAATAAATCAAAAAATCACCCGGGTGTGGTAGCGCATGCCTGTAATTCTGGCTACTGGGAAGGCTGAGGCGGAAGGATTGCCGGAGCCCAGCAGGTGGAGGCTGCGGTGGCCGGGAGCGGCCGCTGCACTCCAGTCTGGGCGACAGAGTGAGACTCCAACTCAAAAAAAAAAAAAAAAAACACACACACAGATATCATTTGTTTCTTATGAAGAAGTTTAGATATACATATCGTTAAAGTCTTCCTATATTTGCTGTTACTCTACTCTGCATTGGTTCCCTGAGAACAGTGCATTTTTCACATCCTACTTTGGGAGTGGAAATGTGGATGTCAATGTTTTAAATGCTACAGGAACAATGATTTATTATTTTCCTAACAGGAATATATAAACAAAATACACCCAAGGAATGTGAAGATTAATAATGCTATTAATAATGCTGTTAAATTAATAATGCTATTTTGTTCATGTTAAAAGAGAAATATAGCCAAGCGCAGTGGTTCAAGCCTGTAAACCTAGCACTTTGGGAGGCCAAGGCGAGAGGACTGTCTGAGCTCAGGGGTTCGAGACCGGCCTGGGCAACATGGTGAGACCTCGCCTCTACAATAAATCAAAAAAACGAGCTGGGCATGGTAGTGCGCGCCTGTAGTTCCGGCTACTTGAAAGGCTGAGGTGGAAGGATCGCCGGAGCCCAAGCAGGTTGATGCCGGGGTGAGTGAGACTCCAACTCCAAAAAAAAAAAAGAGAAATATACATGAATCAAAATGTCTAAATAGTAAGTAGGATGGCAGAAATGCCTGGAACAAGTGGCACCAACTGCTGTGGTTGGACACGCGCCCTAGAACACATTTACACCATAGCACGCTGAAGCCTCCTGCAGAGATGCTGACTCCCCTGCTCTAGTCAGGCCTTCAGGCCAGCCAGGATAAAGCTATCAGTTACCCCAAGAGCCACTTTTACAAAGTGGTTACTAGCTTAAGAAATGTAAATTTGGTCTTGCCAATTTGCTGTTTGTTTAAACTAATTTAAACAATTACATGCTTCCACATTGAGTTGCTAATAGAGTTAAATAAATAACAATTCCATGCAATTACACTTTCTGTTTGGTATCATGTGTTTCATTTGTTTAGAACCTTATGTTCTCTAACCACGGGGTAACTTAAAAATTTAATAAGTATATCTATATTAAATGTTAAGCACTTAACCTGTACTTCATCTATATCTGCATTAGTAATACAACTTCGACCTCAATACTCTCTCCTGCTGCTTCAACTATTTCTTCTATCTATTTCAAGAAAGCAAAAGAAAATAACTGGGGGAAAAATAGGATTTCAAACAAATATAGAAAATCTCAATTTCCATTCATTTAAATTATTGTATGTCCCTCTTCTAGTCATCTTATAAAGGTTGTTAATCATAAACTTAATGTATGCTTTTAAGGACAAAAAAACTAACCATTCACTTTTGAGTTCTGCAAAAACTCAGTCTTTCTCAGTTTTATATACAATAAACCCTATCACGTTAAAACAGGATGTAATACCAAAGATTATTACTTCAACATGAATGTTTAGTAGTTCGATTTAAAACCACATTCCAGAACAGCCTCTTACTTTGCAGAAATGGCAAGCTAGTGTTCAACTGAGAGAAGCTATCACTGAAATGCAGGGTGTTTTCCTGAGTCCTGAGATTCCAGTTTGGTTCAGCTGCCAACCGGTCCTCTTCCAGCAAGACAGCAATCACCTTTCAAACACAAGTGAGCAGTCTGTAATAAAGCACTTTGCAATAGGTTCTCTTTTCCCAAAAAAACTACCTTTTCATCTTATCAATATCTGAAAATACCTACTTGACTTTCCACATCACAATAGTTAAAAGAAAAATTACATGGTTTTTTCTGTACAAACCAGGACACTAGTAATAATATAAGATTAATTGAAACAAACTCCAAGCTGGGCTTGGTGGCTCAGCCTGTAATCCCACGCCTTTGGGAGGCTAAGGTGAGTGGATTGCCTGAGCCCGCGGGTTTGAGACCCACCTGGGCAACTTGGTGAGACTTCATCTCTACAATAAATCAAAAATCAGCCGGGCGTCGTATTGCGTGCCTGCAATTCCGGCTACTTGGAAGGCTGAGGCAGAAGGATTGCCGGAGCCCAGCAGGTTGAGGCTGCGGTGGCCGGGAGCGGCCACTGCACTCCAGTCTGGGTGACCGAGTGAGACTCCAACTCAAAAAAAAAACCAAAACTCCACATTCAAGCCATTTTTGACTTTACTTTTTTTTTATACTACATACACTTCAAAAAATTACAAGGAAAAAAGGAAGATGAATATCCAATATTCATGAGAGAATAAAGTAGTGTAAATAAATGTCATAAACATTTGAGTCTCCTTTCAGGTAGGTTACTAGACTTTGGGAAACACCTAAAGTGTAATTGCTCCAACAGGGTAATGCTTAGAATTTGGCAAGGAAAAGAAAGAAGACTGATTAAAAAACAAAAACCAGGATTGGTGTGAAAAAAAAGACACAGGAAATGTTCCCTAAGAACAGAAGGATGGAAGCGAGGAAGGCAGGAAGAGTTTACCAAACTGACAGAAGAGAATATCGAAGGCAGAAATTGTTAAGGGAGAACTGACAGATGAGAGTGCCGAAGCTAGAAAATGTGTAGTCAGAACTGACAGGATCTGTGTGAAAATACAGGGAATGTTTAGAGAAGTGACAGGATTGATGTGAGGAAGTCAGGGAATGTTTAATAAGACTTGACCAGATGAGTGTGAGGAAAGTAGGGATGTTTAGTGACAAATGACAGGATGGCAGTACGACAGGGAATGCTCAGTGAGGACAGGATTTGTGTGAGGACGTCAGGGAATGTTTGGTGAGAACTGACAGGATTTGTGTTGAGGAAGTCAGAGAATGTTTAATGAGAATTGACAGGATTTTTCTGAGGAAGTCAGAGAATGTTTAGTGGGAACCCACATGATGGGAGGGAGGAAGTCAGGGAATACTGAGTAAGAATGAACAGGATAGTAGTTAAGAAGGCAGGGAATGTTTAGTGATGCAGAAACTTTAAGTGAGAACTGTCAGGATGGGTAGGAGGGAGGCAGGAAATAATTAATGAGGATGACAGAATGGAAAGGTGGAAAAACAAGGAATAGTGAGTCAGAACTGACGGGATTAAGGAAGCTAGGGTATAGAACATGAAGGAAAGCTATGTGTTCAGGGGCGATCCTCCCTTAGCCTCACTCAGTGCCCACCCATCCCATGTCCCCTCTTCACCTCACAGTGTTCTCTCATCTTAGTGTACAAGAACTTTCATTAAACAAATCTGAGCCAGGCTCGGTGGCTCAGCCTGTAATCCCGCGCCTTTGGGAGGCTGAGGTGAGTGGATTGTCTGAGCCCGCGGGTTCGATACCCGCCTGGGCAGCGAGACCTCATCTCTACAATAAATCAAAAATCAGCCAGGCGTGGTAGCGCGTGCCTGTAGTTCCGGCTACTGGGAAGGCTGAGGA